TATTAATTATTATCATAATTATTATAAATATTAAGTAATATATTTTATATCATTCATTCGAAAACAAATTATTAAAATAAATATATTATTCATATAATTATATAAAAAATCTATTTTGTGAATTTTAAATAATTTATTATAATATTTTAATTTTAATTTTCTTTAAGTATAATAAATTTTTTGTTCCATTAAAAAAAAAATTTGATAGGTCCCACCGAGATTTGAACTCGGATCGCTGGATTCAAAGTCCAGAGTGCTAACCATTACACCATGGGACCGATATACTAAACATTTTTATTATTATTATTTTGTATTATAATTATTTATTTTGATATATATAGATATATTTATAAATATATTAATATGTACATTTTTCAAAATTATTTATTGTATATTAATTTGATTAAAAAATTATAAATTATATTATATTATTAGTATTCAAATATAAAAATCTAAATAATAAAAGTTCTACTAGAACATAAATATAAATTGATATAAACATACAATTCATGGATGTTTTAAAATATTCAGATCTAAATCAAAAGAATAATATATGAATATTTAAAATTCTAATATTCATAAATTCGAATAGCAGTAAGAAGGATAATATAATAAAAAAAATAAAATTATTTTATTTTATTTCCATCTTGTTTCATTTAATGAAAAATTCAATTATTTATAATTTAATAAACAATCAACTAACATTTTTATATATCAATTGTTCTTTTTGATCTCTAGAATGATTTTCTAAAGATTCTCAAAAATATGTATTTATGGTTTATATATTCTTATACATTCAATATATATTTTATATATTTAATATATGTATCTAAGAAAATTAATAAATAAATAAATATATATATATTAACTATATATAAATATATATATATAAATTTAATATACATATATTAACTTAATTTATATTTAACTTGATTTATTTACTGAATCAATGATTGATTTATATTGATTTATATTATTTATATATATTATAAATATAGAAATAAATAAATATAAAAAATGTTTAAAAAAATTTGTTTATAAAAATATATATAATTTGGTAAGGAAATATATAGTATTAATAATATAATGTTAAAAATGAATGCTAGTAAATCATATGAAGGTCAATTTTAAAACTCAAATAAAACTTATTAACTACAAAAAAAATATTAACTTATAAATATTAACGTATATTGAAAAATTATTAGAAAATATTTTAATTTGAATTTTATGAAATTTATTCTATTCTGAAAAACAAAAAAAATATGAACGTATTGTATGTATCGTTTCATATATCTTATATTATATTTTGTGAAATTATTGTTTTAGACATATATTATAAAATCAAGAATATACACTTATATAAAATTATAAATTAAATTATATTATACATTATAGTTTTTAAAAAGAAATGATAAAAATATTTTCAATTTTTATTCCGATAACTTACATGCCAAAAAAATAAATAATGGAAAAAATAAAGATAAAGTAAAAATTGGAAAATTAATGCCAATTTCTGAGATGTTGCTAATGAAAATATAGATAACACAAATATAGATAAGAAGATTAAATAATAAAAGAAAGATAAAGATAAAAACTGAATGGGAAATCTATGGGAAATCTAAAAGTGACATCTTTTAAATATTAAAAACATCTCTTTAAAACATCATCTTTAAAAATACTTAAGAGATGGCGTTATTTTTCAATTTTTTTCTGTCATCTTATTTTTGAAAAGTTGTCTTTGGTTCTCAAGAGATGGTATTGATACTATGTTCTTTATTTTTATTCTTCTCTTATTATTTGTTCTTTTGTTTATATTAAGTTTTATTTCTGACTTTTTAGAGATGGCACTAAATTTTTATTCTTATATTAGTTGCTCCCTTTTATATTTATTTTACAAAATTTATAGATTATTATTTCTGATTAGTTTATTGTCTTTTTTGATTAAAATCTATTAATTAAAAATGTTTCATCAATTTTTTGTCTATATTGAATAAATTCTAATAAATATTAATATTCTAATTCTAAATATATATTAATAATATATAAGCAATAACGATATATAAATAAATTTTAATGGCATTACATTTAAATCCATTTTTACAAAAAAAAATATATCATAAATTGATATTATCTTCATTGTGTTGTAATAAAAAAATATGAATTTAATTTTTATTCATATAATTTTATTTATTAAATTATTTCATATTCATATATTTTGTCTATTATTCATAACAATCAAAAAATTTAGATATAATTTAGTAAATATTATGCATGAGAATATTTATGTTATGAAATAAAATATAATAAAATGACATATTAAAAAAATTATTTTTAGAATCTATTGATTTTACTAATTTTTGATTGAATTAAAAGTATTAAAATGTTATAGAAACTATACCAAATATTTTAATTTTTTGCGCAATCGCAATTTCAGAATATAAAACAAAATTTTATTAAATATATCTTATAATTCAATTTTAGAACAATATAATTTTATATAATATAAATATATAATTATTAAAATATAAATAATTTTTTAAATTAATAAATTTTTTCTTCAAATTTAAAAATCTTAATGAAAATGCTTTGAATAATATTAATAATTATTAATCAATATCAATAACTTTTAATTTGTCTACATTAAAATTTTTTTATACAATTTTTTATATATATAATTACAACAAATTTATGTTATAATAAAAAAAAATATTTTTTTTTATTATAACATAAATTTGTTGTAATTATATATATAAAAAATTGTATAAAAAAATTTTAATGTAGACAAATTAAAAGTTATTGATATTGATTAATAATTATTAATCAATATCAATAACTTTTAATTTGTCTACATTAAAATTTTTTTATACAATTTTTTATATATATAATTACAACAAATTTATGTTATAATAAAAAAAAATATTTTTTTATATTATACATATATTTAAATTATTTAAAATTTCTCTAATAAAATATTTAAATAATATTATATATATAACTATAATATATATATATAAACTGCTATATTATATTGACAAAGAAATATTTAAGAACGAATTTTTTATTTATTGAATAATTACTTATTATATTATTATTTATTTTATCATTAAATTATAATTTTTACACACTCAATGTTTGAAATTATAAATTAAAAAATTAATTAAATAATTTTTTTTTAATTAATTAGAGTAAATATAATATTTTTGCAAAATAATTTTTTTTGTATGATTCAAATTTAGTAAATTTATATAAATATTGTTGTTACATTTAATTATTATTAAATTTTTTTGATGCGTTTCTATGTTATATATATAATATATATATAACGTAATGATAAAAAAAAAAATTTCGTTTAATTTATTCATCTTTATAATTTAATAATAATGATAAATATACACATAATATAGCGCTAATGTCAGCTAAAATATAATCTAAAGTAATTTTTTTAGTCAGAATGTATATACTATATTTATATTAATGTTTTGAGATAGAAAGAGAGCAATAGATAGAATAAAAAGATAAGAATAGAACTGGGTTTGGCAAGCGTGGTGATTTTACACCTACCTTTTAACCGAACCGTGGCTGATTATATTGTATTCGTTTTACGATACGGATCATGCTTGGCCCAGGTGGTTTCCCTAAGAAAAGTGTATTTCTATTTTACATATTATTGCAATACATCATTATTGCTGTGACAAATTTATTTAATATTCTGTACAATCGAAGCTAGTTCTCAATAGTTTTAAATATCAGAAATATGAGATTACGAATAGTTGTGATATGTGTGTCGTAAAATTAGAACGTGTTACAATCTATTAGATTTTTCACTTTTTACAGTCATGCATTTTTTAAAAAATTATAAATTTTTAAAAATGACTTAAATAGAGACTTTAAGAATGACTTAAATAAATCACGATCACCAGTTTCAATGCGCGATGCTGAATATTATATTATGTTGGATATGTTGGCTGTTTTGGGCGGGTCTTCCGATAATTACAGCCTATCCCGTATCATCGTCTATACGAACAGGTACAATAATTGTATATTCAATATTTATTTTGATAACATGTTATTAATGATAGGTTATTTTGCTTTTAATTTATCATACATTTTAGATTTATCATACAACTATACTTCATCAAAATGGGAACAATACTGGATACAATATACTCTTGGTCTTTTAAGTGTGACAGCTACAGCATTTACTTTAGTTGGCTGTCTTTGTTGTCGAAGACCTAGAAGACTTAAAGGATTTCAAGTAATTGTCATTTTTATATTACATATAATAAATAGAAATCCTTATTAAAATTTTTTATTATCTAAATAATAATTTATTCGTTACTAATTATAGGACAAAGCAGAAAAATGCAATCAGGTAAAATTAATATCACAAATTTTTTTAAAGATTTAAAGTTATATTAATCTGTAAATTTTAGTAAAAATTAATAAGAATATCAATTTTTTTATTTAAATATTTGAAATATTATAGCAATTGATTTTAGACAAAATTTTTTTTTGTTTTTTTTCTTTTACATGTTTATATATATTATTAATTACAATGATAATAATTTATATAATTGTCATGAAAATATTTCATAATATTTATATGATTTATATTTTATGAATATAAGAAAAATAATTAATATTTACTTATATTTAAATATATAATAATTATATATATTACAAAAATATGTATATTATGTATATTACAAAAAAATATTTTTTCTTTAAATATTAAAAACTAACTAACTTTAAAAACTAGTTGCATGTATATTATTTATAAATTATTGTAGTATGTAATGTAGTTTAATATATTTTAATTTTTTTTAAACTTTATTTTTAATTTTCTATAAAAATATTTGAAAAATGTAAATATA